ACACTTAGTCCTTGGCAGGAAAGTTATGACCAACCTTGACAGCATATTAAAAAGCGGAGATATTACTTTGCCACCAAAGGTCTGTCCAGTCAAGGCTATGGTTTTTCCAGTAGTCATGTATGGATGTGAGAGTTGGACTATAAAGAAAGCTGAGCACCGAAAAAATGATGTTTTTGAACTGTGGTGTTGGAGAACATTCTTGAGAGTCCCATGGACTGCAAGGAGATCCAACCAGTCCATCCTAAAGGAAATGAGTCCTGAATAATCATTGGAAGGACTGATGCTGAAGCTAAAACTCCAATCCTTTGGCCACCTGATGCGAAGAACTGACTCATTTGAAAAGACCCTGATGCTGGTAAAGATTGAAGGTGGGAGGAGGAGGGGACTACAAAGGATGAGATGGTTGGATGGCATCCACCGACTCAATGGACATGAGTTTGAGTAAACTCCGGGAGCTGGTGATAGACAGGGAAGCCTGGCATGCTGCAGTCCATAGGGTCGCAAAGAGTCAGACATGACTGAGCGACTGGACGGGACTGAACCAAGCCAAATACATCTAGAAGACTACTCATGTTTTATCTCTAAGGTTTGTATAATCTCTATTCTTACTCTTATGATCCTCCACAGTGATACGTTACCTGACACAGTAAAGTAAAAGAGATTCTGGTGGTGTGATTAAGTTAAAGACCTTGCAATGGGAGAGTATCCCAGGTTATCCAGGCAGGTTCACTATAATCATAATCACATAGTAGAAGGATCAGAGACACACAACATTGCTAGCCTTGAAGATGGAAAAAGGGGACTACAAGCCAAGGGATATGGGCAATCTCTAGGAGCTAGAAAAGACAAGTAAACAGATACTCTGCTAGAACATCCAGAAAGGAATGCATCCCTGCCAGCACCTTAGTTTTAGCCCAGTGAGATTCCTGCCAGACTTCTGACCTATAGAAATGTAAGATAACAAATCTGTGTTGTTTTAATTCACTTTAAAAAAATCCTTCACAGTGAAGTACAACTTCACCGTATATTTGAATTATGTATGCTGGACCATGGGCAAGAGAATGAGCTCCACAGATAACAGATCAGAAGGTAGGAAAGCTAAACTGTGAGATGCAGTGAGATCTCTGTGATCCCATGTCTCTTTCAACTTATGAGTGGTAGGCCACAAAAAGTTAACCCCATGGCAATGGCAGCAAGAGAACTCAACAGAACGAGAGTTCTATTAGGAAGTGCACCTAGAAATTCCCCATTTTGATTTATGACTACTGCCTTACTCTTCATATTCACAACTCCTCTCAACTTATTCCCATAAAATCATGCTTTGGAACTAAATAAGGAGTATAACTTCTAAATAACTCTAAATAAGGAGTATAAGAACTGATTTGAGAGACCTTTGCTCATCATTAAAAACTATTCTTTCTCCAGTTATCCTGTGACTACTGCTCTAATTTACTTATCTAGATCTTGACTTCTAATTGATCATAATCTTTGACTTGGGCACCTAAGACTCCAATACAGCCCTGACCCTTTGTTTTCCATGCTACTAAGCCAAAGATTCTGACCTGTGTTTTCTAAACTCCGAACTTTGGATCACACCATCCTAAGTGGGTAAATTCCAGGGTGGCCTCCATGTTCACATTCTGCATAACTCCCTCTTCCTAAATGTGAATGGACTTGTGACTTGTTGCTAACCAATAGAATATTGGTGACTGAGTGTTATTCCTGTGATGACTAGGTTACATGATATAGCTAAACATTTGTGATTAAATTATGAGATTATATTTATAATACATGATATATGTAACATATTTTATATATAAGATATGTATAAATACATCTTAATCTCCATTTTGTTAGCACATACTAGAGAGACTCTCCTGTTGGCCTTGCAGACTATAAAGTAAGAAGAGAGACAAACTGAAGGAAAACCGGTTAAATAAAAAGGAACTAAAACTAGCCAGAGCAACTAGGCAAGAAAAAGAAATAAAAAAACAGCCAAATTTGAAAGGAGTAAAATTATCTCTATTCATGGATAATATGATTTCATATGTAGAAAACCCTAAATATTTCATAGAAAAATTGTTAGAACTGATAAATTCAGCAAAGTAGCAGGATACAAAGTCAACACAAAAAAATCAGTTGTACTTCCATACACTAACAATGAACAATCCACAAAGGAAATTAAGAAGACAATTCCATTTACATATAACATCAAAAAGAATAAAGTACTTAGGAATTAACCAAGGAGGTAAAAGATTGGTACAATAAAAACTACAAAAATTTGCTGAAAAAAATTAAAGTAAACATAAATAAATGGAAAGACATCCCAGATTCTTGGATTGGAAGACTTATTACTGTTAAAATGTCAATACTACCCAAAATAATCTACTGCACTCCCTATCAAGATTCCAATGATAGTTTTTGTAGAAATAAAAAAATCCATCCTAAAATTCATATGGAGTCTCAAGGGACCCCAAATAGCTAAAACAATATTGAAAAAGAGCAATGCTAGAGGACTCACATTTCCTTATTTCAAAACTTACTACAAAGCTACAGTAATCAAAACTGTATGATATTAGCATAAAGACAAACATACAGACCAACTGAATAGAAGAGGTTCCAGAAATAAACCCTCGTATGTATGGATTTTCAATAAGAGTGACAAACAAGACTATTCAATGGGGAAAGGCAGTTTTTTTAACAAATGATGCTGGGAAAACTGGATATCCACATGCAAAAGGATGAAACTGGACCACTACTTAATACCATATACAAAAATTACCTAAAATAGATAAACATAAGACATAAAACAATAAAACTATTAAAGCATAGGGCAAAAGCTTCACAGCATTGGATCTGGCAATGATTTCCTGCATATGCCACTAAAGGTATAGGCAACAAGAGAAAAAATAAGACAAATGGGACTTCATAAAAATTTTTTAAATTTTGTGCAGCAAGACACTATAAAGTAAAAGCAATTCACAGAGTGGGAAGAAATATTTTCACATCATATGTCTGATAAGTGATTAATGTCTAGAATATATAAAGAATACCTACAACTCAGTAACAAAAAATAACAACCAATTCAAAAATGGGCAGGAATTCTCTGGTAGTCCAATGGTCAGGACTTGATGCTTTCACTCCTGTGGCATGGGTTCAATCCCTGGTCAGGGTACTAAGATCCCACAAACCATGCAGCACAGCCAAAAAAGAAAAAAAGAAATGGGCAAAGGACTTGAATAGACATTTCTCCAAAGAAGATGTGCAAATAAGCAATAAAGACATGACAAGATGTTCAACATCACTAATCATTAGGGAAATGTAAATTGAAACTACAATGAGTTGCCATTTCACACCCAATAACACAGTTACAATAAAAAAAAAATCCCCAAAACAAAATAACAAGAGTTGCTGAGGAAGCAAAGAAATGGGAATTCTTATGTACTATTGGTAAGAAGGTAAAATGGTGCATCAACTATGGAAAACAGTACAGCAGTTCTGTTAGACCATATGATCCAGCAATTCCATTTCTGGGTATGGAGTCGTACCTCAGAATCCAAAGACTATTGGTTCTAGGATTTCCCCATAGATGCCAAAATCCATAGATACTCAAATCCCTTATATAAAATGGTGTATTAACAGTATTTGCATATAAGCTACATAATCTTCCTATATACTTTAAATCATCTGTAGATTACTTATAATACCTAATACAATATAAATGCTATACAGTTGTAAATACAATGTAAATGATATGCCCAGGTTCAGAGAAGCATTATTCACAAGAGTTAAACGTGAAGGCAACCCAAGTGTCCTCGACAGATAAGCAAAACGTGGTATATACAATGAATGAAATGTCAGCCTTAAAAAGGAAGGAAGTTCTGACAAATGTTACAACATAGGTAAACCCTGAAGACATGCCAAAGGAAGTAAGCCAGTCACTAAAAGACAAATATTGTATGATTGATTCCACTTTTATGACGTACTTAAAGTGGTCAACATCACAGAGACAGAAAGCAGAATGGTGGCTTCCAGGGCCAAGAGGAAGGGGTGAACGGGGGAGTTATGGTTTAATGAGTTTTAGTTTTTTAACTAACTTTATTGTTTAATGGCATTTTAGTTTAGGAAAATGAAAGGAGTTCAAGAGGTGGATGGTGGTGATGGTTTGCACAACAGTATGAATGTAATGTACACTGGCATGTACACATATAGTAAATGTTGTCATATGTATTTTACCACTTTTTTTTTTTTTAAGAAAGGCAAAAAAAGGAACCAGAACTGAGTGGTCTTAAAAATTCTCAGCTTTTCCAGATGGCAAAAGACACTAAAATTAAGAAATTCACCATCAGGAAAGTACACTCTAAAGAAAAGACCAAGGATGTGACTATAGAACCTTTTGCTAAAATCTTGGAAACATCAAAAATATTCAGTTACACAAAGAGCCCTTTCAAAAGGGTAAAGGCGTGCCTCACAAAGCCTCTCAACAGAACCAGAGGGCCTCTAGGAAGCTGAAAGGTATTGTCCCTCAGCCTTCTCAGCAGGAGTCCATGGAAGAAAAGGGTTTATCTTCAAATTTATCTTCTGAGTGAATCTCACTAAAATCTACAGAGACCCATAAAGTTATTTAGAAAATTACATTGGCAGAAACACTGCTAGTTTGTACTAAAAACGACTATGAATACAAGAAGAAAGGAGGCTGTCAAATTTCAACTGGCAGGAAGCAGGAAGGATAAAACTACTATGCTTCTGTTTTTCATGAAAAAGGAAGGATGACTCAGAGGGTAGACTGAACAGTCAAGGAGGTGGAGCCCTGCTCAGCTCTCAGGTACCTTCATATTCCTTCCCATCTAGATCGTTCCCCCTCAGTTTTACCACTGTCTAATTTGGTTTCCAGTTCCAGTCAGGGCCTTTCTTATTTAGCCATCTTTACAGCCCTCTCAGGATCCCACCTTGCTCCATCTCTTTATCTTCTCACTATCCAAATCCCATTTATTACCTACCTTAAAAAGTTTCTGAGAGTGTTTAATCATAAAAGCCATCCCATCATTTAATTTTGTGATATTCTCTTGAAGGTCATTTGCAGTGGCCTATTCAGAGCAAAAGAAACCAAAAAAGAGAGATGAAGAGCTGGGAAGTGGAGGGCAGATACTCCCATTTACTTATTGAGAAGCTAATTCTTTCAAATGTATGATAGCGTCTATTGCCAAGAAAGTTGACTTTAATACAGTGTTTAATTCTGGAAAGACTTTCTGGTTCAGCAGGTTTCCACTTAAAATGATATGGTTCTAGGAAGAACCATGTGTCCTTGAAGTGACCAGGAAATCCAAGAGAACCGATTTTCCTTTTCTAATTCTGCCTGAGAATTAGACATGTATGCAGAAGATCATCTTTCCCGGGAAAAGGGACAAGAACAGAATCCATACCAGTCACCAAGAACACTGCTCTCCAGAGAAACTAGGTTCTCCAAAGACAAAAGAGAGCTGTCACTATGAATTGATGTTAAAGGTGACATCCGTTTCTTAAAAACAGTCAAATGGTCACTGACTCCCTTCTCCTGTTTCCCCTGCCTCTTTTTTAAGCACTTCAGTGTCTCTACTATCCAAAGCCCGCATTCTCAACATGTATCTTTTTTACTTAATGTTTGCTCGTTCTAAAACCTCTTAACTTTATAGTCATAGATCACTTGTTTATTTTCAGTCTCATTGAGCTGGTTCTAAATCTCTTTTAGTTATGTGGTTTTATCCCCTTAACATGGACAAATCTTGGTATGTCTTTTTCCTCTCGTATCCCTCCCCACATCAACCCTCCTCTGGGCAGAAGCTCTGTTTTATGAATGGACAGGAATATGAAGCTATGGGCTTCCAGGTCAGAAACTACCACAACATTGTTAATTGGCGATACCTCAATACAAAATAAAAAATTTAAAGTTGAAAAAAAAAAAAAGAAGGACATTCAGCTTTATCTAAAGAGAGTACATCTACAGGATATAGAAAAGTTAGGACAAGGCAGCATTGCTCTATCTAAAAGCTCTTATCTAAAAGCTCAGTGACACTATCCTATAAGATCATACAGCTCTGGTTTAGATTCATACCATTTAATCTTCAGAAATCAATTTGATTTCCCAAGAAGGCTTTCATGTTAAGGAGTTTACATTGACCACCCAACATGAGTATTCTGGTATATTTCGTAGCTATAATCTTCCACTAAGAGTTTCCACTAAAATTGTCATTCAGGCTTATCAGATTGATTTATAAGCAAAATTAACAGGAATTTGTGGTTTGATAACTCTTAAATGATCTAACAAAGTAAGTTCCTAACCTTATAAAGCTGAAGACCAGAACTTGGGCCCTTGATAACCTCACCAAGTATAGCTATAGGATGAGGCCCAGCTCAAGAAAACCAAGCAGTCTTTCTGTTCCCCCCACACTTACATTTTTTGGCCATAAGACATGGGGCGCAAACATAAGGGCTAGGTTATAGGCGGACATCTTATTCTTGTCTTGTTTCTTTGCTGTCTGGTACAGGAGATCAAGCAGTAACTTCAGCAAGTTACGGTTGGGTGGAGGGAGAATGAGGAAGAGCAACTGAAGGGCCTCGATTTGCCGTTCCTTATCTGGCACATTAGTCTTGTTTCCTTTATCATCAAACTGCATCAATTCTTGACAATAAAAGAGATGATTGTAAAGGATGGGAAAAATACAAGAAAGAAAAAAAATCAATGCTCCTACTATGTATCATCCTCCAATAAGAGAAAGGAAAAAAAGAATCAAGTATAAACAGATTATAGCAAAATACAATAACAAAATCATATCAATATAATAATAAAAAGACAAAAACCCAGTCAAATAGCCAAAAGACTTAACATTCCTTCAAATAAGATATACAAGCAGCTAATAAGCATTGGTATACTTGGTATCATTAGCTATCAGGGAAATGTAAATGTAAATCAAACCCCAATAAGATACTACATCATAAGTGTGGCTATAGTCAAAAAGACTGACAATAACAAGTGCTGGCAAGAATGCTGAGAAAATTAAACTCTTCTATAGGGACTTCCCTGGCAGTCCAGTGGTTAAGACTCTGCGCTTTCACTGTAGGGGGTGCAAGTTTGATCACTGGTTGGGGAACTAAGATTCCACATGCCATACAGTGGAGCCAAAAAAAAAAAACCCACCACTCTCCTACAGTGCTGGTGGGAATGTAAAAAATGGTGTGACCTCTGTGGAAAACAGCTTGGCAGTTCCTCAAAAAGTGAAACATAAGAGTTATCACATGACTTAGCAATTCCATTCCCAGTTATATACTCAAGAGAAATGAAAACAGTCCACACGTATCTCTGATAATGCCACCCCCTTCACACTTCCTCAGCAAGATATTTTACTGCTAAAAAACTATGAGAGTGAATCATGACCTGATGCCAGGATGATCCAGGCAGCTCCTTACAGAGTCAGAATCATGGCTTCTTCTCTCACAGGTTATAAAGGTTTATCAATAAAAAACTGTCCCCTAGATCATCAGAATTTCAAAAGACACTGAAAACCATTTGGGTATAATTCATACAGACCTGAAAATGATTACAGTGTGTTATTGAAGCTGTTTAACTTCAATTATAATTCCATGTTTAGGAAAGGCAAATAATATTTCTAGAAACTGTCTCCTGTTAATACTAAATTGAAAACAAAAATCCCTCCCTGTTATTAGCAAGCCATATCAAATGCTCCACCTGTGCCACACCTCAGTGTGATCTCAAAGACCAGTAAATCACGGGGTGGTAGAGAGGAAGTTTCAGATACTGTACTAAATTAACTCAACAGGAAAGCAAACAGAACAGGCATTCTTCAAGTTAACCCTTATAAAAAGAACTTATCAATATTTTCCATATCTTTTTCAAAGATCCAAAAACTTTTATTTCTCCCCCAAAAAACTGTGATGATGTTGAGTGTTAGTCGCTCAGTTGCGCCCAACTCTTTGCAACCCCATGGACTGCAGCCCACCAGGCTCCTCTGTCCATGGGATTTTCCAGGCAAGAATCCTGGAATGGGTTGCCATTTCCTTCTCCAGGGGATCTTCCCGACCCAGGGATTGAATCCAGATCTCCTGCACTCCAGGCAGATTCTTTACCAACTGAGCTACGAGGGAAGCCAAAAAAACTATAAAGCTGTATAATATTCTAGTAATGTTTTCTCATTTGTATCATCTAAATTGTACCTGGAAGTGCTAACAAAATCAAATCTTACTTTAGAAATTCAAAACCTATTTTTTCTAAGTGGTAAAAATTATTCTATAGAAAAAAAATCTTCTACTTATTTTCCTTAAGATTAGAAGCAAGAGGGAAAGGCTCAAGGGTAGAAAACTAAATAAATACAATATGGATGTTGATGCTGTGTGCACTTAGAGCCTATAGCAGCATAACTGCTGTGTAATTCAAGAATGAATTCCTTACCACACAGGCATAAAAGGAAAAGAGGAAACTATTTATGAGCTGAAAATGGAACATTCTCCAAGAAACATTAAATAAAAAAAGAAACCACAGAACCATGTGTATAACACCCTACCATTACATAAAAAGAGAGAAAAGAAATATATGCAGGTGTTTGTAAATGTGTAAAATATCTCTGTAAGAACACATTAGAAATCAATAGTACTGGTTCTCTCTTGGAGAAAAACTGAGTGCCAGGGAACAGAGATAGAAAAGAGGTTTTTCACTGGATACTCTTGGAACCTTTTGAATTTTAATTCATAAGAATGTATTGCCTATTTAGAAAACAAGCAAAATTATTTTTTAAAGAGCAAATTTCCAACAGTAGAAATTATCTCAACCGAGGCATATTAATACTTAGCAAAAGTTCCAAACCAAGGCAAATACATCAAAACTGTGACCATTGACTTGGGTGTGTCAATCAATCCAGTGAAAAGCACACATTAATTAAACAACTAAAATGTTCAAAGCACAATGCTAGGATCCATCAGGAACACAAAAATGAACGAAACCCAGACTGTATCTTCAAAGAAGTTTATTCCACAAAAAAATTTGACTAAATCAAACATAACTAGCCAATGCTTATGTATTCAGAGAGCCCAGAAATATCATGAAGTCTTAACCAACATTAGCAGAAGTTACAAACAACAGAATACTGTTGTTTACAAGCAACAGACTATTCTGTGGGTTACAAACAACAGAATATTCCCAGATGACTTTACTAAATTGAAATAAATGTACCTACAGCCCCTTCTCACCTCCAATACTCACCAGCAATTTTGAGGTGTGCGTGAAAATGTTTATGTGTCAGCAAGGGCTCAGGTAACTCTCCTAGAAACATCTTCAGCAATGTAGCAACATCATTTGAGTGAAACTCCCCTGATTCCAAGTCAATATCAGTTCCATTATTGAGAGCATCTCTTAAAATCTGCTGTCGGACACTATTCCCTGGTACTCTAAACAAACCCTCTACTCGTAAGTCTGTTCGGCATGGAAGAGGAACAGAGGACATGAAAAAAGAAACAGAGAATTACAATTAAAACAAGTCATCTAAAAGACCACTTTATACTGGAAAGACCCTTACAAAGACCCTGAAGGAGGTTTTTGCCTTTCTTCTCAGAGGAGTTGAGACCTACTGGTCCCTGGGGAAACTTATCTGAGCATCTCTGAGCACCTAGAGATCTTCCAGGCTCAGAGATGGTCCACCCAGGAGTCACTGAACCTCCTGAGGCACATCTGGAGACTGAATTTTATCCGGTCTTTTTTTAAACTCCTATTGAAATAGTTGATTTTAAATGTTACGTTAGCTTCAGGTATACAGCAAAGTGAGATATATACATATATATATGTGGACGCTGCTCAGTCATGTCTGACTCTTTGCAACCTCATGGACTACACAGTCCAAGGAATTCTCCAGGCCAGAATACTGGAATGGGTAGCCTTTCCCATATCCCAGGGATCTTCCCAACCCAGGGATGGAACCCAGGTCTCCCACATTGCAGGCAAATTCTTTACCAGCTGAGCCACAAGGGAAACCCATATATATATATGTATTAGATTATTTTGCATTATAGGTTATTACAAAATATTAAGTATAGTTCCCTGTGCTATGCAGTAGGTCCTTGTTGGCTATCTATTTTATATATAATAGAGCTTGAAAAATAAGCTGGAAGGAAAGCCACATCTTCCTGAAGTCCCCTCCCCATGAACCATCCCAGACTTTGTTAGAGTTCATCTGTGGTTCCTTGAGTTCATCATAGAGGTTCATTGCTCCCGTAAACAGTTTCCAGCCTAAAATGAATCAAGGGTCTCTGCACTGCCCCAGGAATTAGAACTCTAACCTGTCAGATCACCTTTCCATCTAAGAGACTGCCAGAAGCTCAGAGTCATTCCAACTAAACGATTCTTCCCCTCAACCTAGATTCTAAGCTAATCTAAGGGTTAAAAAAGATGAGACACATTGTTTAGTTTGATATGGTAGAAGCATGAGAGTTTCGTGTTTTCAGCTTAGGTATTATTTCTTTGAATAGCTCCCTAATTCAAGTTTCCAAGTTGAAATGCCTACCAGCCAGGCTAGCAATAGTAAATGAATGAAGAGGAACCCTAACAAACTGGTGAGCACCTACCTGTGCTCCAGATGACTGTGTCCAAGAGGCCACAGGGCTCAAGGATGCTAGATCTTCCTGTTATCCAAAGAAAGCTGAAAACCTGGACTTTTCCCATTTGAAAAGACTGGAAACTAATTTTAACTTAATCCTTTGCCAAACAAAATATGAAAATAGACAACTTAAGCCCTTAGGCTGTCAGTTTGTAACCTCTGCTCTAGCTCCCAGCACAATGTCCCAGGTAGAGCAAGCCAAAAATAACCATTAGTGTTGAATTCATCATGGCATCACATAAAGCCACATATTTCATATACACTCAGCTGTGCCAAGTACTTAAAGCAATGACATACCAGTATGACTACTAAAAAAGTGAAAAGGGAATTAAGATGAGTGTATTTTAATCAGAGAAGTCTAGAGATGAAATTTTGGCAATAAATTATTATCCCTGGAATAAATGTTGAGACTCTTTAGAAGCAATGTATTTTTTCCAGAAGAAACGCCTCTTTCTACCAAGGTCGAAATGCGATTTTGTAGACACTATCTAATGTGTGTGTGTATTTGTGTGTGTGTGTGTGTGTGTGTGTGTGTGTATTTGAGAGTATAAAGGAAATCAATACATGAGATGAAATTTATAAGGAAGTATATTTAGAAATATGCCACCTGAAATTATCATTGATTAGTGTCTTTGTTAATGGTTAACTGACACTTACTAACTCAAGGATATTAAGCTCCCAACAGAAAACTGACAACTGTTCATTAACAAAGAATGAAAAAATTTCAAGTAGTCTTACTCTTGTGTAGATATTCAATCAGTTGGTATATCTGGGCAATGCCTTCCTCTGTCAGTGGGGATCCAAATACAACTCCTTTTTCTGAAAAAAGCCATACAATAGAACAAGGCTATATTTTCCACAAAGAGTACAAAATCAGCATACCCCTCAGGCAGCCTATGTTACAGTTGAGCAAGTATGTTCACATGGTCAGTACAAAACAACTTAAGAGTTGGAAATGCATCAGAAAATGCAATCAGAACACCTTTCAGTTTAATCTTAGATAGTAGGTTCCCTGAAGGCAAAAACCATCTTCTTCTTTAATTAACAATACTTGGAATATTGATATTTAAATTAAAAACAAACAAAAAAATAGAACTTAGACCCATGATTATTATAACATGATAGATTATCCGCTAAAGTTGGTATAGGGTCTAACCTGTTATGTTTAAACATTTTTGCTGCCCTCGGGATTTCCTTATATTTAATAAAACAAAATAGAAGCTCTTTCACATATTACCAAAAACAGTGTTAATAATCACAATTTATAGTACATAAAACTAATAACTTACTTCTGAGAAGGCTTTTTGAGTGATTCATAAGTATTAATATTTGCCTTATCAAAGCATTCTATGGAATGAAAACATTAGAGAACTACTGCAATAAAAAAATGGTCAAACTTTGTTTACTGTACTCACCAGCTGTATAACTTTGTTCTTTTAATATTATTTTAGTATAGTATTAATAGAGCATGAAAATCAAGGTGCTCCTGGTAACTATGTAAACTAATCATGCTATTTTCTGGAGACTGATATATATACTTTAATTAATCTAGGTAATTTTTATAATTTTTATCAATATTACTTAAAGTTTTACTATTCATGTAATGGAAAAAATGACTAAAAAAATGCTTTACAATAATAGTAACTCCTCCACGAATGTGCAAATGTTCAGAGTAGAGAGCTCAGGAAGTAACTAAGACCTGCCCCCTTCACAGACACAGTTCCTACCCTTTCGCTTGAGAGACATTAGAGACCGGAAGAATCCTGACGCCGGGCCCGCCCCACCAGGCAACTTAAGATCCACTTCTCCCATCAGCTGAGCCAACTCAGTTCCAGGTAGATCAATAAGTCTTGTAATATTGCTGACCACCAACTCAGTGAACACCTCAGGTTTCTCATGTCGGAGTTTCTCCACAAAAAAGTCAGGATTGAAGATAATGGGTTGACTTTGAAGGGAAGAGTCATTGCAGATAACAAAATTGCAGATAGCATCACTGAAAACAATGAAACAGAAGAATCTTTGAAGGGATCATTTTTGTATGTGTTTTTCATTCCCTCTCAACAACACAATTATTCATTCTTTCTATGGCCTCATCTACATATACCAGTCTTTTGAAAACCTAATACTTAATCTGTTGACTGCACAAAAGAAGACAATCTGGACTTGCTGCTGTTTAGGTTATACCCACATAGATACTCCGAAATTTAGTTTAAAGAAAGACCTGAATTTGCCTCTTAATTTCACACATTCAGTCTACAAGAAGATAAGACCCTTACAGCCTCCTGAGTCTAATAGTATTTTAGAATTGGCAGCCACATAGACCATATTTCCTTATTAAAAGTTAAACCCTAAACCATCATCATTGTTAAATACTTTCAAAACATCAGACCTGCAACTGTTCCCCTAACATGGCAATATGCAATCATTAAACTAAGGCCTTCTTGGGTGTACATGCTCAGTTGCTTCAGTCATGTCTGACTCTGTGTGACCCTGTGAACTGTAGCCCACCAGGCTCCTCTCTCCATGGGATTCTCCAGGCAAGAATACTGAAGTGGGTTGCCAAGCCCTCCTCCAGATCTTCCCAACCCAAGGATTGAAACTGTGTCTCCTGGGCCTCCTGCATTGCAGGCAGATTCTTTACCACTGAGCCACCGGGGAAGCCCCCTCTTGGGAGTACGGCCAGCGCTATACGGTATTTCCCATCCAGTGATCAACTGCTAATAGTACCACAGTCAGGCTACTTGCAAAGGCCACAGAAACCACGTGACAGTGAGCATGAGACTACTGCAGAGATAAAACTATATCCAGTATAATAGACATTTTGAAGATATTTACTCTACCTTTAGGGTTTTCTGGTTCCTAGGTCCCTACACAGACAGGTGTTTCCTTAAAATCAGTTGAGCCAAGTATCCCTGGATTCTGTTCCTCATAACCAAAAAGCCTTCACTAGAATGGCAGGCACTTACAGGTACATAAAAGAGATATTAATTCAGCCTTGCCCAGGTTCAGAAATAGGTTTTATTTTAAATCCTTCATTCTGGATGTCTCTGGCCCATCGGTTAAGTCTGAACTTGGCTCAAGATCCTTCCTCTCTAAGGCACTTGAAAAAAAATTTATATTTTGCTTCTTCTATCTCTTCTATCACTGAGTAGTAATACTCAGCAGATATGCTCTGTTGGCCCCTGATCTTAGCTGGTTTTCCACTCCTGCATTATCTGAGCTATACTCTGAAAAAGCTCCTTTCACTCTCAGAAATACTTTCTTCCTTATTGTTTTCTAATACGTAATTACTAAATACTTTTTACTTTTAACATGTCACATATAAGAACTGTATTATTCCATCTCTTGTAGCAGACATATCACCGCCTGTTTGTATTTATTACCAATTATCTCTAATGGCTTGCTCCAATTCTTATTATATAAACAGTCATCTATTATACAACCTGTGAGTAGATGTAACACAAGCCAGAAAAAAACTGATCACATCTGTCAGGCAAAGCTGAAATTTACCTGACTCAATCAAACATTCCCACAATAAAACAATCACAACTTTCAAGTTTCCACAACACCCTAGGTACCAAACCTCTGTTCCAGGAAAAATGATACCTCTACACATTAAATATAACTAATCTCTACCACACTTTACCAATACTACCTGGATCTTTTTTTTTTGCCCACAGCATGTGGGATCCTAGTTTCCCTGCAGTGGAAGAAGAGAGTCTTAACCACTGGACAGCTGGGGAAGTTTTACAAAGATCATTTTTAATTTGGTATAATGAAAACAAGGTGTGGGTAAACTTCAGAGTTCACCTCTACTTCTTGAGAAGTTATTACCTAATTTTAATCAACAGCCCAAGTCTTCAGTTGGTGACTACTATATTTCTTTCTTTTCTCTAAAATGATAATATAAGAATTCACGTAAAACTTAAAAATTATAAATATGTGTTCTCAAGCCAAAGTCTTAAGAAAGAGAACTAAAAATGTTCTTTCCTCAACCTTTTTACATACTAAGGCTAAAGATGCCAATGATTTAAAGATGCCAATGATTATGATACAAGCCAATTAAAATCAAAAGAATCTTCATCCTAAGTCATTGACAAAGCTTCTTTTTATTTTAAATGTTGGCTTATTTCAGTCAAGATATGAGTCAACAGACTATTATTTATAATCATTGCCAATGAGAAATTACTACTCTACTGAGGGAGCCAGAAAATCATGAAATGGATTAGCACCAAAAGAGTCTTATAATTTATCAAATCTAAGCTTTTGTGGTTGTCACATCTCTTTTAATTCTGAAAAGCAATTCAGATCAAATTAATTCTAACATATAAATGTACATGAACAGCATCCATTATACTCCTAAAGTAGAAATACATACATACATATAACCTCCAGATCTTCAGTTTATTAATATCCAGAGTAAGACTCAGTTGAGATTCCAAAACTTACATCAGAGTTGACTTCAGACACTAAACTGAGTCAAATACAGAGAAAGGAGCTGGGAGCACAAAACCCTACCTACAATGTTTCTCAACAGAATCCTTTTTGACTTGCAGTCTGTTCCCTCATAAATAGTTAGAATAGTGAGGAGAATAAGTAAGTTCAAGGCTGCCCCTACCTAATTACAAGGAATACAAGAAAAAGATACCTAAGGAGTCCTAATACAGGAGTAACAAATAAGCAAACTCAGTTTCTTTTCCCCTTCCACTATTTCTCCCTTTCCTTCCCATAATCATTCACTTTTGTTTTGTCTCACTTTAGTTTCTTTAACCTAATTCATTTTTGTCCTCTTCCTCGCTTTTTCTGAGTGGAGCATGTGGTAAGACAAAAATGGAGAGAAATGGTTAAAAAAGAAGTAAAACGGAAGATAAGAGAAGGAAAAGACAGATATAGTAGGTTATGCTTTTAAATTATCCCCATATCACAAAGTCCAATAATCTCTTCCCATGGAATACACAGTGCCACAATGTAAAGCTAAGAATATCAAGGAACACGGTCAAGAACTTAAGAGAAGGGCTAAAGAAAAAAATAAATAGATAAATACTATTATTAAGCAAAAACCACCTTCCTCCCTCTACAGTAATTTTAAAATGAACTGTAAGTTTGTTCAAGTTTAAGTAAAAAATTAATTTCTTACATAAGTGCTGAAAGCTTCTGATGAGGCATTGGTAAATCGAAGAGACAGGAAAAGAACTTTCTCCTTGTTTGTTGTAACAAAGAAACCCTCCTTTCCCTGCCCCATCACAGCCTACACAAATTCCAGATATGTTAGAGGACACAAGGCACATTATGTGGCCTGAAAGGCAGTACTTATTAGGACTCTTAAGCATTCATCTGCAAGTAGGAACAAAACAGAAATTAAAAACTGGACCAGTTAATTATATTTGCCAACACATAGACGAAGCTCAACAACAGTCTCCCATCACATTGAACACTGTATTAAACAAAACAATCACACAATATAAGAGTATGCTGCTGCTGCTGCTAAATCACTTTAGTCGTGTCCAACTCTGTGCGACCCCATAGACGGCATCCCACCAGGCTCCACCATCCCTGGGATTCTCCAGGCAAGAACACTGGAGTGGGCTGCCATTTCCTTCTCCAATGCATGAAAGTGAAAAGTGAAAGTGAAGTCGCTCAGTCGTGTCCGACTCATAGCGACCCCATGGACTGCAGCCTACCAGGCTCCGTCCATGGATTTTCCAGGCAAGAGTACTGGAGTGGGTTGTCATTGCCTTCTCCATATAACAGTATAAGGACAAGCATATAAAGGGAAGAGAGATCCCTACCTCACATCATACAAAAAAAAAAAATTCCAGACAGAATAAAGATCTAAATATAAAAAGTGAAACTTGGAAAAAAATAAATTAATGAGGCAGAGGAAAGCTTTCTTAAACACAACATAAAATGTACAATCCACAAAGAAAAGACTGAAAGATTTAACTACATCAAAATTTTAAATGTCTATTCAACAAACGACATTATAAACAAAGTTCTTAAAAAAATGAAGTCACAGTACCTCTGGAGAGGGGAACTGGATGAAAGAACAGGAGTGGGAGAGAAACTTTTCACTGTATGTTGTTTTGTATTTTCTGGATTTTTGATTCAAGTGAACATATTAGCACTACTCATTCATAATAAATAAATAAATTTAAATTTTTTAAGTATTAATAAAAGATAAGCCATAAGCTGAAAAAAAAACTTTTATTCACACAAAAGGATTAGTATTCAGAATTGATCAATATGACTAAAATTTGTAAGAAAAACACTCAAAGAAAGTTAGTCAAAAGATATGACCAATTCATAGAAGAGAGGTCTAAATGACTAATAAATATGAAAATAATCTTTAACTTTAGAAGTTAAAAAGGTAAAGCAAATTGAAAAATGGTATCTTCCTCCATCTGTCATTTTGGCATAAACTATCAGATTCAGTGAAAGTGAAAGTCACTCAGTCGTGTCTGACTCTTTGCAACCCCCTGGACTGTACGGTCCATGGAATTCTCCAGGCCAGAATACTGCAGTGGTTAGCCGTTCCCCTCTCCAAGAGATCTTCCCAACACAGGGATCAAACCCAGATCTCTCACTTTACAGGCAGATTCTTTACCAGCTGAGCCACCAGGGAAGCCCATCAGATTCAGGTGATATCAGATTCAGGTGATATCTTCTTACTCTTAGTCTGCTAAGTGTTATTTATTATCATGAGCCGGTGCTTCAGTTCAGTCTCTCAGTCATGTCCAACTCTTTGCGACCCCATGGACTGCAGCACATCAGGCTTTCCTATCCATCACCAATTCCCCTCCGGAGCTCACTTAAACTCATGTCCATAAACTCGGTGATGCCACCCAAGCATCTCATCCTCTGTCGTCCCCTTCTCCTCCTGCCTTCAATCTTTCCCAGCATCAGGGTCTTTTCTAGTGAGTCTGTTCTTGGCATCAGGTGGCCAAAGGATTGGGGTTGTAGCTTCAGCATCAGTCCTTCCAATGAATATTCAGG